ATCCAAGTACACAATGGACCACTCTTCCTTCTCTATATTTCAGCAAAACTATTCAACTAATAAAACTGTCAAAAATAACTAAATAAAACTTTGCACACTACAGGTTCCCCAGTAAACAGGAGACTGGAGTAAATAGCCAATTCCAGTCCTGTGTGCTTTCTTTGAAAGCTTCAACAAACTCTCCCTGCCAGGCTCTGCTCGCTCCAGTTCTTCCCCCGCTTCCTTCTCCCACCCTCCTTGGTGCTTTTATGTTCAAGGGAAGAGATGCTCAAAGACTCTCCTGCCAGCCAGCAAGCACCACCTGCTGTCCTTACCACGGGGACAGTAAGGAGTCAAGCGAGGCCCAACTGCACTAGAAAGGCATTTCCAATTTCCCCTTCCCCAACACTCAAACCCAGAGCACGGAGCACATTCCAGAGATCCAGCGCTCACCCCAACCTCAAAAAAAAATAAACATTCTGTGCTCAACTTCTTCCCCAGCTGGCGGCAAATCAAACAGACCAAAGCACACAGGCTCACTTGTATAAGGGGCTGGGAACCTCCACCCGGCACTGGAAGCCTCGCTCAGTCTCCTCCACCACAACGGCATCGCAGGGCTCGTCCGCGCAGTCACCGGGGCCTACCAGGAAAACCACATCAGACCCTGCACAACCCCTGGCAGTGCTTTATGGAGGACAACAGCCTCCTCCCAGCCTTATTTCAAGGTTAAATGAAGGAAAGATTGGGCTCCTCTCCGCTGTGGATAACTGCTTTTCATTTATCACCTCACTGCTAGCTCTGGAACACATAATGACTGCTTCTAAATCCGGCCGGCTGCGAGGCGCAGGAAGCAGGTAGTTACAGCCCAGGTTTTTTCTCAGCTGGAGTTTGTGCAATTCCCACACAGTGGGAATGGTCTCTTCTGGCAGCCAATTCAGAAATTTAAGGTTGCAGAAGAGCACAGATAAAAGGTGAGGATAGTTTTGTTCCGAGGGTTCAAGCCAGTGATTCAGAAAGAGCCTCAGAGGAACAGATACACCTTTCCATCCACAGGCAAGGATCAAACACAACATCCTGAAAGAAGGGGTCCTTCCCATCCCCTTCCCAACACAAACAGGGATTAATTTGGACGGAAAGCACCTCGTTAGAGCTTAGTGCAATCCACTGAAAGGCAAGGTGGGAGGAGAAACAGGACACAACTTCCACATTCTCATCTGAAAAGTAACACTGGAGCTTTTCTGTGCCCACAACAACTCGCATACAACTGCAGCAAAGATACAGGCAGAAAGACAAAGTAGAACAGACTAGGACAGGAAGAATTTTGTCCCCAAAATAGGTAACACCTTCCAAAAGTTGCACTGTAGGAGACCAGTTTTTAAAGGCACGAATATTGCCAGGATGGAAGGTCTTTAGCAAGCAGCTGCCATATCTGCAAATAATGATGGTAAGGAAAAGAAAGAAACCTGGGAAAAAAACAGATCTACAGAGCTAATCTGGTCTTCCCTTTTCCTGGAGATCTTCCACAGTCAGCAAGCAAACTGAACAGTCAGCCAACCCACTTGGGATAACTGGGACTGCTTCCACTTTGGGCAGCGGGATCATCAGGGACCATCTCCCTCTTGAACACCTCAATCGGCCACATGGGCAGGTCTCTGTGCTCACAAAGGCATCAGAGATGACACTGAGAGCTCCCTAGGTCCCCAGTGTTGATGTTCACACCTCCTGAGCATCACTCCTTACCTGCATAGAAGTCCTCCTCCTCCTCGTGTGGGAAGGCCTGCTCTTGGATGAGATTCTTGCGGTACACTCGTCCCCCGATCCTTATCAAGGGGGGCCGCAGCACGTCCATCCTGCCCCTCTTCCTACTGCAACAACAGAGACAGCTGTGCTAACCCAGGCCAAGGAACAGCTAATTTCAATGTTTCCCTGCACATTGGGTTGGGAGGCACCTTAGAGCTCAGCCTTTTCCAACCTCTTGCCACAGGCAGTGACACCTTCCACTATCCCAGGTTGTTCAGCTTCTGTGAGCAACCTGTGCCAGGGCCTCACCACGCTCTTAGGAGAACAATTTCTTTCTAATATTCAGTCTCAATCTCCCCTCCTCGAGCTAAAAGCTCCTCCATGTAGAGTCTTCAGAAAGGCAACACCTCCTCAAATCTTATGTGTCTCAATCCAAGAGCAATTTTATGAGAAGTCACAAGTACATCAAGCACAATCAAGTGAAAACAGGAAATTTAAGCAGTGTGAGGTATGAAACTCTGAAACTTACAGGTTCCAGCTAAAACTCACTGTAACCTGTGTCAGTGTGACATTTCATAGTTTCTTTGGGCTTTAGCTGGCACTGAGTTAAAAACGTTAAGAGTGAAGAACATTTAATGGCTCTAAAACAAAGAGCTGACAGTGCTGTCAGAGACTTGACATCTTCAGCATTTGAATTTCTGTGTTCACTACTATGGTTAGTATTGGTTGTCCCAATTTTAAACCAGAATCTGTTACTGAGAAAAAACAGTTTCCACCAAAAAATTCACCTTTGTCAGAAGGTTTACCCGCCCACTGCAACAGAACAGGAAAAAATTAGGAGCTTGCCTCGGAAGCAACAAGCATTTATTACAGAATGACATCAGGTTGAGAAGGTTAATACTTCTCCCCTCAGTTCGAGCCCCACCTTCCGAAATGACTCACAATCACCTGAACTTACACGGAAGATTTAAAAACCTTACACTTCAATAACAGTAATAATTCCTGTAGCTCAAGGGGAGAAGTGCAAAGGTCAACTGTGCACAATGAGGAAAAAAGCCATGAAAACTCAGTTGCTGAGGCTTTGGCTTCCAGACAGGTTTTTTTGGGGGAGGTTATGTTTTTAACACACTGGTGCCACAATTTCTTGACACGGGACTTCTGAAAAGTGAGCAGCAACAGCGGGAGGCACAAGGCGGCTGGGGCTGCAGCCTTACGGCAAGATCCGGCTCCTGAAGGCAGGATCCACAGGGGCTGCGGGCAGCTCCGCGGGAACCAACTCCAGGCAATCCGGGGAGGGCGGCAGGGGCACCGGCAGGGCCCGCGCCGTCGAGGGTACTGCAGCAACAGAACCGCTCGGCTTTAACTTCACACCCCTGCGGGAAGGCGGCGGCAGCAGCAGCGAAGCGTCCCCATCCCCTCGGTCGCTGACGCCATTTTGTTCCCACTCCCCCCCTCCCCCGCTCCGTCCCCCCGCCCCCCCATCGCGTCCCGCCGGAAGTGGCGCGCGCCCGCCCCATCATGCACCGCGAGCGCGGCCACGCGCGCCGCCCGCACCAAGCCGCTGTCCGCGCTCCCAGGTGAAGGAGAGAGGGTTCGGGACGGGGCCAGGGAGCGCCCGGGGGGCGGCGGCGGCCCCGAAGGTGAAGGGCGACGGGATGAGCGCGCGGGGAGGGCGGCGGCTGCGGCGGCGCGTGGGCTCCGCACTCACCGGGAAGCGGCTCGGAGGGGCCATGGGCGGGTGGGCGGTGGCAGAGGCGTGGTCAAGGGGCGTGGCTTGCGCGCAGAGGGCGTGGTCTGCGATGGGGCGTGGCCTCTCAGGGGTGCGGGCAATGGGGTTCCCCCCCCGCCAAGATGGCGGCGCCTGAGGTGCCTGAGGCGTTGGCTGGAGGTTCCTGTAACACGTCCAGGCATCGCCCTGACCTGCCGCCTCCTCTCTCTTCTCCTCTGTGTTTGTTTAAAATAAACCCCCTGCAGCCACACTTAGGAATCTGTCGGGTCTGCGAGCCCCTGCTGGCATCCTTTCAGCGCAAACGATCCTCGCACCTCCCTTCGAGCAGGGAGCTGAGCCTGAGGGTTTGCTGAGGAAGGTGTTGCTGGGTGTAGCATAGCAAAAATAAAAGTTTGTTTTATGCAGGCGTTTTTCTGTAAGCCCTCAGCCTCCTGTGAGCTGCTATGTTCTCTGTTACACACAGAACACTTGAGCACTCTTGGGAAACTTAAAAGGAACGGAGGAACAGGACAAAGGGAATGGCTTCCCACTGACAGAGGGTTAGGTGGGGTATTGGGAAGAAATTATTCCCTGTGAGTGCCTGGCACAGGTTGCCCAGAGGAGCTGTAGCTGTCTAATCCCTGGAAGTATCCAAAGCCTGGTTGGACGGGGCTTGGAGTAACCTGGGATAGTGGAAGGTGTCTTTGCCCATGGCTGGGGGTGGAATGGGATGAGCTTTAAGGTCATAAAACCTCATTTTCTGCACAAAACCCTCGAGTTCTTTCCAGGGGCGCTGTCTGTGTACCCTACAGAGCCTGCAGAAGTGTACTAAATATGATAACAAATGAATGAAACGGACAGGGTAATTTGGATGTGCTTATAAGTACTTATAACTCTTTGGAGGAGCAGCAAGTGCTGTCACTGATAAGAGCCAAGTGACACCTTTTTTACTATCGGAGAGGTACATGACAAGTTCTAAGTGCCGTGTTGTGACAAACTGTACCAGTTTGGGTACCCAGTTTGTACCCAAATGGGTACAAACCTCTTAGAAACAAGGCTGAGAAGAGAGCATGCAAGAGGCAGCCGGATTTGTGCTGCACAGGCAGATGGGTCCTCAGGCATTGCCGGTTTAAGTCAAATGCAGTGTTTTAAAGGCAGGAGCACGCCTGGACTGATGCAGAAAGCAGCTGCTGCAAGTTAGGCACGGCGTGGCTCCGTGCAGGATGCGGCGCTGGAACTGGCAGTCCCACAGCCTTCCAGGTTTTATGAGGCAGCAGGGCTTCTGTGTTTGTGCTCCTGGAAACAAGCAGGGGGGAAAAAGGAAAGAAACTCCGCCTTTTATGACCCTGGGGAGTGGGACAAGCGCCAGGGCAGCTAAAGGCCGGTGAATTCAGGCCAGCAGCCTGTACCTCGTTATTCTTGTGCACGCTCTGGATGAATTCCCAGGGGAATTCCGAGGGGTCGGAGCGGGAGTTACTTTCAGTTTCGGGGTGTGACAGCTCTGTGCTCATCCCCTCAGTGGGCACAGGCAGCTCTCCCACACACGCAGGGCAGCCTGGACGCTCTAGGGCAGCGGAGGCGGCTTCATCCTGCCCCTCGCTGCCTCCATCCGTCCTCGGAGACGTGCGGCTGCTGGCTCTGCGCCCCGGGGAACTCCGAGACGCCCGCCCTTCCTAACTCAGGCTCTGCTCTTTGTCCTCCCAGGCTGGGCCGGGGTGCAATGGCAGCCTCCTCCTCATCCTCCTCGGCCGGAGGAGTCAGTGGCAGCTCCGTGACAGGGTCGGGGTTCAGCGTTTCGGACCTGGCGCCGCCCCGGAAAGCCCTCTTCACTTATCCCAAAGGAGCCGGGGAGATGCTGGAAGGTGATTGCTCCTGCCCTTCTCCTTCCCCGCTCCTCCTCCAAGTTCTTAAACTTCACACTCCACTGGCAAAAGCTGGAGGTAGAAAGGAAGCACCAGGGCTTGGTTGGTCCCGGCTTTCAACCAGTTGTTCAGGAGGAAGTGATTTTTCTGGCAGTCACCTGCTTTTTAGCTCCATGACAACACTTCAGACCAGGAAGCATCTACCTGAAAGGGAACATGACTGTGTTAATTGCTCATTGTTAGCTAATCCTTTGATGTCAGGCAGGGATTACTGCGAGAATAGCTGAGACAGGAGTATTTTTCTTGGCAGAAGTAGTAATTTTCTTGGTTTGGGTTGGATTTGACTGGGTTAGTGCAGGAGGCAGCTTGTCTCCCTGCCAGCTTGCGTCTGGGTGCCCGAGCCCTACCACCGGCTTCGTAGGGATTGTGGAAGCAGAAGCCCAGCAAGCTCTGGGTGAGGGAGGAAGGGCAGGTCCTTGGGGTGACAGGGTTAAACCAGGGTCTCTCTGTCTGCTCCCCTTGAACTTCCCTTGTCACCATGGGATGGCTGGAGTGTCCCTGCGGCAGCACAGGGCAGCTGGGAGCTGATGGCTGCGCCGTTGAAGGGTTGTTTTTATTGCACATTAGAGCCCATATGCCAGGCTATTGAAGTAATTATGACTAAAGGTTTGCTCACAGAACTTAACGAGCCCTCAAAACAAATTAAAGTAATGAAGCACTTCGTGTTACCAAATAAGACAGGCAGCTGTTCCTCCTGAGAGCCACTCGGCAGGACAGACAGGGAGTCAGAGGAGAGAATCCAACATTTAGGTTGGAAAAGGCCTCCAAGACCATCGAGTCCAGCCTGTGACCGATCCCCACCCCACAACAGCACCAGAGCACTGAGTGCCATGCCCAGTTGTTCCTTGCACACCTCCAGGGACAGTGGCTCCACCGCCTCCCTGGACAGCCCCTTTCAATGTTTTTCCATGAAAAAATTCCTGCTGATGTTTCCACAATGCATTTGGGGTAGCACTTGTTAAGAGGAAGCTCTGAACACGGAAAAACTCCAGCTCTTGCCTGGGATTCAGCTTTGGATTAGATTTTCCCAGAGTTTTGTCTTTGAAACTGCTCTCCAGGTTGTTAAGGCACAGAGCTTTAAATGGGGTGTGCTTTGGGCTGACCCCTTTACCAGGAACACAGCAGTTTGCCTGCTGTGGCTGGCAGCAACAACCAAACGCTGTCCCTGTTGCAGGAAGCTCTAGGTTGGCTTTTTAATTTCTGACACCCAAGGTGATACACCCGTTCTTTCATCAGGCAGCCACCAGTGGAGAAGCTGCATTTTCCTCTTCCAAAATTCCCACTGACTGACTGATTTTTATTGCTGCTTTAACTATCTCGTTTGTTTCTAAATAAACCCGTAGGTATTTTAGGGTTTTTTAGAAGGAGGCAGTATAAACTATGTCAGTGCCTGGTAGATAATTAGCTATGTTTTCCAGATTGCTCTGTTTCTGAGTCACTTATGTGATCAATTACTGATTTGGATGGCAAAATACACATTATTTGAAACTCTGTGTAGGGTTATGGTCTGAGCCCATGGGAAATCCTAAAAGCATTCTAAGGACAAGAGCGTCCGAGCCCTGAGGGAGTCAGAGACTGCCATAAATTACCTGGCTTCTCCTTAGCTTAACTTCTATTTAAAATAGACTAAAATTGCTTGTCAGAGGGGATGTAACAGATTTCCAGCTGAGATGTCTTCCTGGGAGACATCAGGAACCAGCCAAAGCCCTGTGCAGGTCACAGGGGCTGCACTCAGCACAGGGGAAAGTGTCGGAACGAGGCAAGGGGGAACCCACACCTCAAACATAAAAGCAGGAGGTCAGGCTGCTCAGCCTCAAACTCGGGGGTTCAGCCATGTCCTTTTTGTGCTTACAGATGGCTCTGAGAGGTTCCTCTGCGAGTCAGTGTTCAGCTTTCAGGTGGCATCGACGCTAAAGCAAGTGAAGCACGGTAAGCACCGAGCACTGGCCGCGCGTGGCTCGGAGAGGGTGGCGGGGGCAAAGCCTGACCTGCTCTCGGGTGCCAGCCACAAGAAAGCAGAGGGAACGCTAAGTCAGGCCACCACGGAGTCCTTTTGCAAGCCCTATGCAAAGCACCAGGAGCCCACAGAAGCTGGGTGGGAACGGGCTGTGCCTCCTGAAGCTTGTTTTTCCATGGCTGTGTGGCAGCACAAGGTGAGGCCCGAGGAGGAGGTTCTGGGCAGGAAACGCCCACGCTCTGATCTCGGCCCAGTGCTGACTGTCTCTCTGGCCTGGGGCACAGAGACGCTCCATTCCACCTTTGTTTCTCTGCTGAGCCCCTGTGGCCCTGGCAGGGTCAAGTGAGGTTTCCAGAGGCACTCAGGAGGCGGCCACGCGTGGCGTGGCGTGACAGGGCTGAGGCCACTCCCTGCCTCCCCAGGGAACAGCCTGACATCCTGTTTGAACCTCTGCTTCCCCGCCGGGCCCTTTGCCCTCGCCCAGGTGCCTGTGACCCAGCGATGGGCTTGGCTGCGTCACAGCTTCAGTTCTCACAGAGCCCAGCAGCAGATCCTGTCTGCTGCTTGAGGGTCACATCCTTTCTGGTCCCCGCCTCTTGTCAGCCAGAATGGTACTTCCACCTGTTGTCTCTGAGCAGAGAGGTTTCCTGTCCTGCTCCGGCTGTGGGGGCATGCAGCAGCTTGCAAGGCCGTGATCTTGTAGTTCTGCACCAGAAAGCAAAGCTGAGCTCCAGAGCCATTGTTTCCACAGCTCTGCTGTGGCTGTAGCTACCACGGGCTACTACACGGCCTGGCACCCCGATAGACACCAGCCTGTGGAACTGTGGAGCACCTCTGTCCTGGTTTAGGGGGACAATCTCCCTGTTTTCTCCCTGTGAGAAAGGTGAAGGGCTTAAAAAAGAAGATTGAGGTCATCATTTTTTGGCTTGTTTGTTTTTTCAGTTCCCAAAAGGGTGCAGGAGGTGGAGTGAGAACAGTCCCTCTTAAAACAGACCCACTGCTGCAGTCAGCATAAATCACACACAGTTTATGTTACACCTCGTGCTAGCCCTGGGCCATCTCTCCAAGAGGCAGCAGTGAGCTCACAGCACTGCTAGACTCCCGGCAGAGCTGGGAGAAGGGATATTCCCATCTCTGCACCACTGCAGCACATTTAACTGAAAATGGGCCCTGTATGCCCAACGCACAACTGGTTATAAATAAACCTAAGAGGAAGACGTTGTCTGGGGACCTTCCTCTCATTAGCAGGCTCTGGTTGCAGGGCCTCTCTGCCACACTCATCCAGGTCCTCCTCCAAGGACCTTCATCAAAAGCACAGTTTCTCCTGCTGCACCCAGCTCTACCGTGGGCTGACCAAGCCCTCTCTGAACTTCTCTGTTCTCCTGCACTATAAATATTTATGCTTTATGAAATGAGCTTCATCCTGTTTTCACCCCCGTACACTAATGGGCCTGATGTTTCCCTGTTAGGACTTGAATGTACATGGCACGGGCAGGGATGGGTAAACACACACTGGGGCAGAAAAGCCTGTCCCTGCTTTCTCCTCGCTGTTTGTTCAGAGTAGGTTTGGATTCAAATGGGCTCCGTGGGTTTTATTCTGCCCTGCTCCCCACTGACAGCTGGGAATTTGCATCTAATTGAAAGGTTTAATTGCACTGCCATTGCAAACCACAGTTACCTTTGAACTCCTCGCAGATCAACAAGTCGCAAGGATGGAAAAACTTGCCGGTCTGGTGGAAGAGCTGGAGGCAGATGAGTGGAGGTACAAGCCAATAGAGCAGCTCCTGGGATTCACTCCCTCCTCGGGCTGAGCGTGTCTGGATCACTGCTGTCAGGGAGCAGAAGAAAAACATTCCCTGGCCTGGCTTCAAAACACCCCCCCGTCATTTATCAGATGCCAACAGCTGCATCGGCAGGATGGGACTTTGGGTTCTTTTGAGAGTGGGGATCCCCGTGAAGCTGCCAATAAACGGAAATGACAGGATTCTGTAGGCCCTTACAGGCTGGCAGGGCTTCGTTTCTGTAACTTAGAAGGCAGGATGAGCTGTGCAGCCCTCGGAGAATCCCCGTATTGTTTACAGAGGAGGGCACACGGACAGCGTGGCTGCGGGGGCCCGGGTTCCCGCTGGAGTGCAGCCGGAGCGCTGAGTGAGCGGGGAAACCCTCTGCAGCAAATGCCAGGAGTGCTCCTCAGCCCTGGCTGTCGTGCTGGGGGATGGACACAAACTGTCCTGGGGTCGGGTGAGGGGCCAAGCGGTGTCACCTCCTCCAGCAGTCCCTCAGCCACTGCCCAAGCCTTTCCCTCTTCATCGCCATTTCTCTGGTAGCACTGGCAGGACACTGCTCTGTCTTTAATACCCTGAAACTTTGTCCTCTTTGTTCTGTATTAGATTTCTCTGTGACAATAAAATGACTCTGAAACTCTTTTATCTGGTCTGATGAGGGAAACAATCAGCTCTTTGGGAGCTAAGGAGGTTTCACGAAGCTCAGAGGCAGATGGACTGTCATGATGGTAGACTGGAGTTCAGTGTGAGAGGAACCAAACCATGCTCAAAAGTGGCTTGATTTAAGAACAGATTTTAATCCTGGTTTAACTCAGCCTGAGGAGAAGACCCTGGTTTAAAACCATCCATTTTAATCATCTTGTTTTTCGGTTGTACTTCACTTCTGTTCTTGGAGGGAACTGGATTTCCATGTTCTGGCGTAACCATTTCAACATGTTGATTTTCCATGGATGAGAGCCTTCACCCCACGGCTCTGCTGGCCAGCAGGGGGTAGGAGCAGCACCGTATGCAAGCAATTATTTGATTTACTGCTCCAGATGCCTAATTTTTCCATTTTCAACATCTTACTTACGAGATGATTGTATTTTTTACTCACTATTTCAGCCCAGCCACATCTGCATTGACACAGATTAACTGGGATCCATTCCCATTTTAGATCACCAGCAATTAGCTAAAACTGAGGGGGAGAAGCGTACAGCCACCTTCTGTGTTTGCTGCTGTTAATAAATGAGTTCCAGTGCCAGAGTCAGCTCTGGGCAGTGCGGAGCCCCACGCTGCCCGATCCGCGAGTGAAGCCGCAATTCCAGCTCCGTGGAAATTCACCGGAGCGGCGCAGGGGCGTTCTCACGTAGGGCTGCAGCTCAGCTGAGACTGTCCCACGCTGGCCACCCCGGCCCCGGCCCCAGCCCGGAAAACCTCCTCCCCAGCCTTGGAGAGCTGCCAGGCCCTGCTCTGCGGGGGCCTCCTGCACAGTCAGCGGCTCCGCGGCCAGCAGCGCTCCAAACGTGACGGCAGGCGGGATTCAAACCATCCCAGATGGGCTTGCTCGAGAAAGAAGGGAGAGCTTCAGCCCTCCACTATTTTGTTTGCTTGCTGGCATCTATTTTTAATCCTGCTTACTCCAGCCATCTAAATCTACCTTGGCAGAACCTGCCAAAAATCCTTGCCGTGTATCATTGTGGGGAGCAGCAGATCTCCCAAACCCCCCCTTTCACACCCGGTCCCCCCTGCTCGCTGACCCAGCACAATCAGGCACAGAAAGAGCTTTTCCTTTTCACTGCTCAACTTGGGAAACTTTTCCACTCTGCCAGCCCTCCTGGGATGCCAGGGGCTTGGCGCCTGCAGCTCTACCCAAGGGATGCAGTGCCCAAGCGTTGCCCAGACTTCCCCGTCCAGATCCAAAACACGGCGGGGCTGAGATTGATCCCCCTCTCCCTCCTCCCATTCCTTGTTTTCCAGCAGTTTCTTGTGCTGGGACAGAGCAGGAGCAGGGAACGTCCCCAGCCAGCTCCGTGCTGTACATGGTGTGTTTGTATGTGTGCCCAGCACCAAAATAGACACATGTGTGAGAGCCATTGAGAGGAAGTGAAAAGTTCACCCTGTACAGTACTACAAATGCAAAAACATGTTGTTGGCCGTTCCCTCCTCCCGCTCAGTAAACACTTTGTGTAAGGCAGGGAGAACTGGAGGGAACTGTATGGGCAAAAACCTTCCACGCTCCCCCTCCTCCAAACTCAGGTTTTCCCTGGCAGCTGGAAATTCTCGAGCCAATCTATTTCCTGCTTTGCAGATCAGTGGGGCTGCTCTGGTAGTGGGTAATTCTTGGGGTGTGGAAGCCCCGCGTCCCCCTCGCCTCGGGGGTCCCGGGGGCCACTCGGAGCCCGCAGCTGGGAGAGAGAGGGGGGAGGGAGCCCGGCAGCTGCCAAAAAAGTTGATGCGGGGAGGGGAGGGGAAAAAAAAAAAAAAAAGCCGAACAAAGAGCTTCGTTCAGGGCTTGCTGGTTGGTTTTCCTGTGGGTGCTCGTAACAGAACGTTATGTACCGGCACAAGCCCCGCTCACACCTCCCCTCCCCGGCTCCTCTCGCCGCTGGCCACGGCCCCAAACGCCGGCCACGGCCAAGGCACGCGCTCGCCTCGCTGCCGGGGCACCTCTCTGAGCAGCGAGCATGCAGCAGTGTGGGGCGGCACCCCCAGAAACACCCTCTGCCTTCTCCCCTCCAGAAGCACACGAGGGGAGATGAATTTCACAGCCCCACACCCTGCGAGCGACACGGTGCCGACCCAGCGCTCAACCCCGCACTCCGCTGCCAAAACCTGTCCGCCGCCCTCCTGGATGCACGTTCCCTGTTCCTCAGCTCCTGCAGCTGCTTGTCCCAGGAGCGAGAGACGGGCCCGCAAGGTTTGGCTGTGGCACAGACCTGCCCGGCCAGCAGCACGCCGGGACCTGCCACCGCGTCCTACGCAGCCAAAGCTCACCTGTCAGAGCTGGCCAAGGGCTCGGGAGATGCAGGGTCACCCCTCGTGTGCCTGTCACCCCCAGCCACAGCCAGGGACCCCGTGTGAAGGACACCCACCCCACCAGGCACTTAGGGGGCACAGTGAAAACCATGGCCTCAGCCCCTCTGTTACTTGGACACAGAGGATCCCACCTGTGTGTGGCCGACCAAGTGTGCCAAAACAGTGTGCAAATTTACCTAGGACCAAACTTTTGGGCCACAGAGCTGCTGGGAAGAAAACATGAAGCCAGGGACTCCTCCATAGCAGTAGCCCATGGGGCAGGAATTTGCTCCCTATCATACAGGGGGCACAGTTTGCACCCGACGTGAACCAGAGCCCCTCAGTACATCTCCTCCCTTCCTCCTCCTCCTCCTCCTTCTTCCCAGCCCCTCTCCCTGGAGCCTGCAAAAGCGCTGAGCTCAGCACATCCCGGTCAGGGGCCCAGCCAAGGACCCTCCCCAATGCCAGCCGCTCCCCCCGGCTCCTGCTTAACCCTTTGCAAAGCCGGGCTGGAAATCAGAACGATCAAGTGAATCTCGTCACAGAGACGGGAACACACTGTCCAGAAAGCCTCAGTCTCTGTCTGCTCCCCCAGAAAGGACAGCAGGTCAGAGGGAAAGACACGCTGCTCGTCCACAGAAACCACGCTGGGTTTACTGCCAGCAGCAGGACCAGGGGAGGGGAAGTGCAGGGATTACCAGCACTGTAGCTAAAACTTTACTTTCCAGCCCAAAACCATTCCTGGAGGCCCTGCTGCAGAGAGGAGCGGCCTGGATCTCAGCTTCTTTTGGGAAGCAGAAGGAGCTGCCAGCCCCACATTGCCTCCCCTCCCAGCTGCATTATTTTATTGCAGGGATCAAAAAAATTACATTTCCCTTTAAAACTTGCCATTGCACCAGAGCTGCTTGCTCCGCTGCCTACCAGGAGATGTTATGGCAAAGAAAGAAAAATATTTATGCTTGGCTCCAGAATTCCAGCTTATTTTTAGCAAGGCGCCTTCCCTGTGGTCCTTTACCTCTTTTTTGTTTATTTGCTGCTTTCCCCCCTGTTTTGACCCCCCAAACCAGCAGATCCTCATCTATTTTCAGCCTCACCCAGCCGACGTTTGTACCAATGACTTGGTGGCTGTGGGGAGAAATAACCCACGAGGTACATTTTGTGAAAAACAGGATCCTAAGCACCATCCAGCTGAGCGGGCAAATATCGGGGTGTATTTTTAACAGCTGGGGTTAGGGCATTGTTCATTTTTTTTTGTCCCGAAAAGTCGAGGAGTAGCTCTGCAAGCTGCAGGCGCAAGCCAGGACTTGTTCCCAACTCCCCACACATCTCCTCTGCTCCCCGGGATGCTACCCACTCCCCCAGCCTGGACTTCCACGCCCCAAGTGCTGATGGGTTCAAGCTCTGACCCCTAAAAAGCAGTGATGGTGGTGATGCTGGTGGGCTGCCCAGACCCTCTGCCCCCTTTGGGTGGGAGGTCACAGGCAGTGGGTGGGGGATCCTGGCCGCCGTGTGCTCTGCACCGCGTTTATCGCCGGGCTCTTATCAATCTCGGCTCGGGGAAGGACAGGAGCCAAGATAGGTCCCGGGGTGGCTGCGGAGTGTGCTCAGCCCCTCCGATAAAGCCGCAGGCAGCGCAGCGGGAGGACAAACAAAGCCCTTTATCTCCAATTGGGCTCCTTGCGCTCCTCGGGGTCTGCCTTTGGGAAGGTCACGTACGCGGGGAGCGGCTGCGGGGGACAGAGCGCTGCCAGGGCGGGGGCTCGGGCGCGTCAAGCCCCAGTTTTAGGGGACAGCGGGGAAGGCAGATGGGGGTGGCACTGAGCAGAACCCCATCCCATCCCATCCCAGCCTGGCCGTGTCCTGCCCCCGCACCCCTTGATCTTCAAGCGAGTTCCACTCCACCATCCCTTAGTGCCTGGAGAAAGCGGGACAAGGCCAGCGAGCGGGACACCGGGATCACGCGTGGGCTCCCGGTTCGGTTCGCCCCTGGAGCGGGGTAGCAGGACCCGGCCCCATCCCATGCCAGGGCAGCAGGACCCGGGCCCATCCCATGCCAGGGCAGCGGGATCCGGCCGTGCCGGTGCACACAACCCCAGGAGGATGAGGCGGATCAAGGCCTACCCCACAGGGGAGCCCCCATTGCTTTCCCAGCCCAGGGAGGGTTCGGGCACCGCGGGGAGACGGCAGGTGCCCACTCCCCACCGGGACGTGATGTGCGTGCCCGAGCGACGGGCTGGCCCCCATCGGGGGGTCCGGGGGTGTTGTCCGGGGGGTGCGGGGCCGGGACAGTCCCGAGCCCGGCCCGGCCCAGCCCGGCCCTGACGCAACCGCGGCTCCCGTTTGCAGCGCCCGGGCCGCCAGGGGGCGTGGCCCGAGGAGGGGGCGTGGCCTCCCCGCTGTCACCGGGCAGGAGAGACGCCGCGGACGTGCCCCGCGCTCCCATTGGCGGGCGCGGGGAGGGGGGCGTGGCCCGGCATGCCGTGTGTATATAAGGGTGGGGCGCGGGCGGTGCGGGCAGAGCGGCGGCGGAGCCGGGGCCGTGTCGGTGCTGCTATATCCGGATCCATGCCCGGGATGTGGGAGCGGCTGGCGGGTGGCGAGCGGGGCCGCCTGGAGACCTCCGACTGCGAGTCTCTAGGCAGCGCC